TCTGCTTCCAAAAAATAGCGGACAAGCGGGGGGGGGGGTTAAGTAGTAAAAAAAGTAGACTGTACAGCTTTAGATTACGTACCATTTCATCATAAAGCTTTTGAATAAAAAAATGTCCACTATTTTGTGAAAAAAAATAGTGAACATAATGTGAAAAAAGTGGACTGTCCACTCAAATAGTGGACACCTGGCAACCCTATCAAGGAGGCATGCATAGGCTCCTAGATACAAAAACATCTGGAGGAAGATTGAGCTGAGAAAATCACTGACTCAGTCACCCAGTTAGGTTCGTGAATAAATAGAAACTTGAATTTGGTTGCTAGTCGACTTAGGTTAAATTACAGTATGCTAAAAGCGTATGGGTGTTTTCATGCACAACCTTAAGAATGATTTCTCCCTAATAAATTCCCATTAATGTTACAGATTAGCTGTCCGTATTCTTTTGACTGCCTTGAAAAGGGTGGGGAGGGAAATGAGAGATCTGGTCTATGTTGTGTTAGATGGGCACATGTGGGAATTATGAGATGGTGAAATTAGAAAACGGGCCAGTAGTGTAGAGAGATATGGGAGTGGGAGCATCCCACATTCTCACAACAACTTTGTGTGCTAAATTAAACTCAACAGTAATGATGTGGCCAGTGCTAGATAGGCACAATACGGGCTAGTATCCAGGTTTCTCTCAGATCAAGTCCAATACTTAGAAAAATATGTTTTAATGCAGATTGTAAATTATTTATATATTCCTGAATACTGCAGCACAAAATGATGGCTGTGTTGAAATAAGGATTATTTGATAGCCTGATATGCAAAAAATAAAATAATGAATTTTGTTTATTGTCAAGAAGTGGTGAGTGAGTGGTGATATAAACTGACTGAAATAAATAAATCTGATGTTTTAGCTAATGTAAATTACTTTTTCTGAAAGAGGTATGTCTCTGCAGGACCATCCTCTGCTAACCAGGATATTGCTCTGAATGCCTCACACTTTATTGAATTAGGTGTACATAACATGGGATGATCCCAGCCACAATGGCAAGAGTAGATTTTTTTCCTAATATACGAGCAGTGAGAAGGATGGCATGATATTAAATTATAAATATCAAGTTGTACTGTTAATTGATAATGTGTGGAGATTACATGGTTAGACCATTTGTGTTATTTGACACCTGTATTCTTGATTTTACATTCTGGGAGTTTCTAGATTTCTTTTATATACCCCATAATGTTGGCTGTTGCAATGTATTGATTCAAACAACGTAACTACTCACTGCTTTTTTTTCCAATTTCCAAAGAAATGTTTTCTAGCATGTTGGATTTATTTTTGTAAGCAGTGAAACAGAAAGCATGCATATTCTTATTTGATATTTATATCTAAGCATTCTCTGCTGTGCTCTAGTGAATCCCCCCCATACGGAGACAGTAGCTAAATAAGTATAAAATAATGAGATTTAAATGTATCAGTGATAAAAATGGATAGTTGTGGATAGAGTGCTGTAAAAATGTTTTGCAAGACGTACAAGTGTTATCAGAGTCTTGAAAGTATGTGATGCAAATTGTAAATCTCAAATATTTTGATATTACTTGAACAAAATTAGGCAGTTTTTGGTTGCCTGTGTATAGAGATTCAGTATAGTGCCTTGGGTTAAAAGTATAATTCAAAGAGGGATTGCATCTCAAAATTAATGACTCACCTATCTGATGAATAGTCAGGTATTTTATTTGTCTAAAGTATGCCAGTATTATCTTCTGCCTTGTGCAGTGTTTCTCAACCTTGACAATTTTAAGGCATGTGGACTTCAACTCCCAGAATTCCACAGCCAGCAATGCTGGCTGTGGAATTCTGGGAGTTGAAGTCCACATGCCTTAAAATTGTCAAGGTTGAGAAACACTGCTAGAGAGTTTGAAATCTTTTTAGCTTTGTCCTGAGATAGTAATGTAAATGCCGGGCTCTGATTTTTAGCAATTGACGTATAGGGAGTGCCACTGAGTGATGCCATACAAAACAATCCTGTGCTATACTTGTTCAGGTAAATACCACTAATCTTACTTCCAGTGGAACCACAAAGTAAACATGTACTATGTGAACCTAAGAGGATTATGCATTGGGTTATCTGTTCCAGAGTTCTTTGCAGGTTGATCGAAAAGAGTGCAGTCATAGTCCAACATGCAGAATTTAATATTTGTTATCTATAGCTTCAAGTAATTTTCGTTCTTTATTCTCAATGTGTAAGTGGATTTTTTTTCTGCTCGTAACTATTGCCAAGAGTTTTAGGATTGACTTGTGATAAACAAGGGCCGTTACTAGCAGTTACAGATAACTGGAGGTTTGCCCAGGAATGTTTCTCGTTAGATTGTGTATTCACTGCAAATGATACACATGGTTTATACTAGTATACATCTTGGGACTGATTGCTTAGTCACTCCTGGCAATGTACTAGGAGGTTGTAAGCCCAAGAAGCTTTTGCTTACCCTCTGCCAACTGAGATTTTGTCAAGCCTATAATTGCTGAGAATTGTTATACTAGCACATTCCTTCCTTTCTAGCTGTGTGGCTTCTGCACATACAGCAACATTTAACAAGGCTGACTGGTAGAGTCCAGCAACTGCTGGAAAACAAAACAAAACAAAACATCCTGTTTACTCTTAGAGACAACGAGCTGACTATCAGCAAAGCATATTCATGGATTGGAACCATGCAGGGATTGGAATTATATTTCCAGTGGCTACTGTTATGAAGGCTTGAATTAAAAATAGCCAGATAATTTTTCTGTTATTCTGTGTAGTAACTTTTTAGATACCCTATGACAATAAAAGAATTAATGTGGCTCTACCAGAAAAATGGTAGTTATTACATTTTTAAAAGCCAGTCATGCTAGGATTAAAATATTTCAAATTCCTAGGTGACATCTGTATAACCATTATAAATGTGTAGGTGCCTGTAAATTTAACTTCAGTTTTTCAAAATATATGTTTCCATGATATACACTCATACTCTGGGGGATAATAATAAAAATCTAATAATATTTGAAATATCCACATAAATGAGTTAGCCAGGCATCTATCCTAGACATAAAGTCATAGACTTGCTTTTGACTCTGAAGCTTTTTTTTTTCAATTTTCTCTTATAATGAGAAAACAAATTTTCCAGGATTATTAAGATGATATATAGATGTATCTCTATTGAAAAACCTTAACTGATACTGATAAAACAGTAGAAAGTAATTGGAGTTGTTCTCATGTATAAAAAGGATGATTTTCTAAAAATTAATATAGCCGCAATTGTTATATAATTTTTTTGATCCTGATGGCATTTACTGCGCACTTCAACCTTTTATATTCCCGTGAATGTTTTTGATTGGTCTTACATTTCTTTCCCCAAAGATAAGTTCAAGTATCTGCAAATGTAGTACTGAAACAACACTTGAATACTTATTTCTGGGAACTACAGATCTCTCTGCCTTGCCCTCAGCCTTAACCATGTAGCAGAGAATGAGAGAGCTGCCTGCACTTTGTGAAAGAACTTGTAGAGCAATGTATTTAGCAATCTATTTGTGCTTATGGCAAGAGCATTCTGAAACAATCAATGTGGGTAAAGGAAGATTGGACCTTAGCACTGTTACCATTACTGAGCCTTAGGGTAGGAGTGGGCAATAAGTATGCTGGGCTCTTATAGGCCACAGAAGTTCAGCTCAGAATCATGAAGAACCCAACCTGTTTTCTGCTGACCAGATGACCAACTGACAACAGATTCCTGGTTTCTTGCTGCCCAAAACTCCGGTCAGACAACCAGGATGACCTTTGGACAGAAAAGTTTGCCAACCTATAATGATTGGGGAAGGATCAAAAATTGTATGAGAAATTCCATTAATTTGTCTTTTTTAAAAAAATAATAATAATCTTAACAAGTTGAGGAAGCTGCTGCTCTCTTGAAATTCACTGTGGTCCAGAAGATTTGGAAAGGGAAAGTAATTAATAGCTGGTAATACAATTGAGCCAGAATAAATGGAATCTTTTGTTATATTTTTGCCAATTCTTTCTGTAATGCCTGTCTTTGGGACTTTCCAGGTTGTTTTCCTCCACTTCATTACGTCCCCTGTTCCTCCTTAGTACTGGTTTTATTGGTATTCTGCTGTTGGAGAGATGGAAGCCCCAATTTTTATTGGATTTCTCAGGTAAGTGAACATAGTAAACGCAATAGAAGTTAGACTTTTGCAAATATAGTCTTTTACTTTGGGTTCTAATTCTGTTATTTCCTACTAGTGAAATTTAGGTGGTTTTTTTCTCTTAAGAACATTATGTGGCAAGCAAGGGTATTTCAGATCTGTGAACTGGTGCTAAACACTATTTGACAGTGGGAATTGCTGACTCAGGGGAACATCTATTCATGAGCTCATTTGTGTCACAATTTGCTTGGATTTTACTTAAACTGAATCAAGGCAGTGGTGTATTTCAGTTGGTTTGCACAGTATTGTATTGTCGACATGGGAAGCCACTGAGAATTAAAGTTTGTTTTTCAACTAAAGGTACAGTATTTGATTCTTTGCTTATATGCATCCTTTATCTTTGGTTGATTTGTAGAAAAATAATGCAGTTCTTGTGTTCTTAGGTCCTAAATATTTGAGTACCATGAGCCACAATTATGATTTTATGATACTGGTAGCTCTGCCCTCGTTTTAGCTTTAGCTTTTGAAGACTGGACATTTAGGGCATCCATCTGACAGATCCTGTGTATGTGAAGCAAGTTGTGATGTAATAATCTACGAATGAAGGCGAATATACATGTCCCAGGATAATATTGTAGGATCCAATCTGGGTTGGTCACCGGGACCAGAGGTCCTGTCTTCCGAGCTTTGTAGTAATTTATTTCATTTTAGATAACTTCTCTGATTCAAAAATAGCTATAGCCAACTTTTTCAGACTCTTGGCTAATTAAAGGGTTATCATAATTGAGAACGACGCAAAAGCCTCCTCTTTTCTTTCTGCTCAAAAAGCCCTTTTATCTATTTATCCTGTGGAGGTTGTTTATGACCAGCTGTTGAAACTAGGGCACTATAATTGATAACGAACATCCTGGTTGTTGAGGCACTGGAGGAAGATCACAAGGAAAGACCACATGCTACCTGTTGTAGTATGGGATTTGGGATTTGAAAGTTATTCAGAAAACACTGCAGAAATAATATTTCTCACTAACATGTATGAGATTAAAATAACTACTGCAAGAAATAAACTGTTTGCAAGATGTTAATCTCCATGAGTTTAATAATGACACATTTAATTAATAGGCCATTAACTGAATGAATGGGTTATACCAGTCATAATATTGGTTGAAGGAGTGAATGATAAAAGCAAGGAATGGTTAGATTCCCTACTTTAAGAAGTTAGGATTGAATTACGGTAATGCTTCATGAATAGTTAGAACTGCAGAAAAAACAATTGCTACCAGCCTGCCTTCCACTGAGGACCTGTATACTGCATGAGCCAGAAAGAGGGCTGTGAAAAGATCTACAGACCACCTCACATCCTGGACATAAACTGCTTCAACTTCTTCCCTCAAGATGATGCTATAGGGCAGAGGTCTCCAACCTAAGGACCGTGGCCCACTACTGGGCCGTGGCCTCTTGGCCACCGGGCCACATGAGTGGCTGGCCAGTGTACAGTACATGTGCGCACACTCAGAGTTCCTTGTGCCGGCGTTAACCCCATTTGCGGAGCGTGCATGCTCTCAGCCCCGTTCGTGCGCAAGTGTGCGCAGTCACATTTGCATGTGCGCATGCACGCATAAAGGTGCCTGTCCCTCCCTTTCCCAATGGATCGCCAACCCAGAAAGGTTGGAGACCCCTGCTATAGGGCATTGCACGCCAGAACAACTAGACTATCCTATGACTATCACTAAGTGTTGTATCTTATGATTTATGATGAATGTATTTTTATGATGATTATGATTATGATTTATCACTTGTTGCTTGTACGTACACTGAGAGCTTCAATACCAGAGACAAATTTCTTGTGTGTCCAACCATACTTGGCCAATAAAGAATTGTATTCTATTTCTACTTCTATTTCTATTTTTATTTTTATTATTTCTATTTCTATTTCCTTCTATTTCTTTCTATTATTCCCTGATTTTTCTCTCATGTTTCTTGTCCAAAGAAATGCATCCTGCCAGCTTAACTTCATGGATTTGGTTGGTGACAGCATTTGTAATATTACAAAATAATGTTCAGGAGTGTTGATTGCCCTCTATTTCAAGTAATGGAATTTTCATAAGACATTCCTATATTCCTGTTCGAGTGAGTGGATGCTAGTGGATGCTTGGAAATCTGTCTTCTTTTTCAAGAAGATGAGTTGTTTTATTATAAAACCCTGTTGTAGTTGAAATTCCAGAGGAGATGTGGCATTCATGATTAATTGTTGGTTCTTACAAAGAGTTATGATTAGATGATTAGGACTTTCTTGGAGAGAGTATGGCATAATCTTTAGCTGTAGTCCATATAGAGCAGTGTTTCTCAACCTTGACAATTTTAAGGCATGTGGCCTTCACCTCCCAGAATTCCACAGCCAGCAATGCTGGCTGTGGAATTCTGGGAGTTGAAGTCCACATGCCTTAAAATTGTCAAGGTTGAGAAACACTGATATAGAGGGTTCCTCACTTTCAGTTCTTAAAGGAGAAATATCATGCAGTTCTGTTGCATTTGATTAGAAAAATTTTGTTTGCTTGTATTTATGCCAGTTTCTTGATAATTTTTATATATTTCCATATAGCTAAACTTGATGCTTTGCTTTGTAGACATTGTAAGAAGGCATGGTTTACAGTAATACTTGATAGTGGCAAAAAATCAGCAGGAGTCTTTATAACATTTTTGTTAAAAAGGATGAGCTTTCAGGAGCTTATACATTTTCATAAAATGTGTTAGTAAGAAAAGGTGCTATCGGACCTCTTGAGAGTTTTCGGATTTACTTACAAATCATTTTGACAGAGCTGCTCTTTTCAGAGGTGCATTGGAATTCTAAAAAAATTCGGTATCTTTTTAGTGAACACTTATTGTTCAGACTGAAATCTAGAAGGGGACGCTTCTTTTCTAGGCCTCCTTCTGCTTCTTGTTTATCATGCTGAGCATTTTCTTGAAGCTCTGTGATTAGGAATTTGGCAAAATAGACTTGCTTCTTTTGGATTCATCGGGGAACCCCAATTATCAAATTTATCAAATTGTCAATTTTGCACCAGTTTGGGGAATTGATGCTTCTTTTGCATTTTCTAAGCTTCCAAAATAAAATACGGCGAAACGGGTGAAAATAGGGCTAATGTTACTGAACGGGTTAATTAAGGCTGTACAGGCCTTTCAAATCTCCGAGGAAGAGCAAAACAGGCTGATGTAGACCAGTCATAGCGCTCCAACACGTGATGACTAGCTTCCACTCTTTTGCAGGCAGTACAGTATTCAGAATAGTCACAGATGCATTAAATGCCCATTGTATTAAGCTGCTGAGTTAACAGTAGTTTTTTCATGTGATAGAATAGCTTCTGTCTTTCATAGGGGCAGTAGTTCTTACAGTGACTATGATTATTGGGTGCCTGTGTTAGGGGTGTTTGCCAAATCTGGCTCACAAACTTCACAAGATTGTTTCCCATTGTTTCAATGAGCTGTTCAGAGTTTGTACACAACAGAAAAACCCTGATTGCAGCTTGTAGGGACTATATGCAGGCCTTCATGGTTGCTTGCGGCAGGACGCCACGTGGCCTCCTGCCACGAGCGACGGCAATGGCCCAAAGAGCCGTGTGGCTTCTTGCAACGAGCGGCGGAAACAGCCCGAAGCACCATGTGGCATCCTTCTGTGAGCAGTGGAAATGGCCCGAAGCACCATGCGGCGTCCTGCCACGAGCAATGGCAACGGCGTGAAGCGCCACACGGCTTGACAAGTGTCGGGGGATGGGAGGCCTAGTTGTGGTGGTCCTACCGGTAAGATAAGCAGGTGCAGGGCGTGTGGGGCAGCTTCACCCCCCCACCCCGCCCTCACCCCCAAACTAGGACTTACTTTCGGGGGGCTTATATTAGCCCCACCCCAAAAATTAAGCTGGGGCTTAGTTTTTTTTGGGGGGGGGCTTCTTTTGGGGGAAACATGATATATGTTAATATAGTACCACAGTATTTGGACAATTTCTAAAGTGTGGGTCTTGCTTTCCCTTAGTCCTTGTGATACCTACAGTTATAAAGCTAAGCTCTTCAGCTCTGTATATAAAAACCAATTTGTTGAAGAAAGAAACATATACATGTGTATAGAATCTGAATTTCTATGTTTCATTTCTCAGTTAATGCTTTAAACCCCCCCCTCCCCATTTTTTTATCCTGCAGTACAACCCATAGAAGAACCTGGGGGAGACAGGTAGGCATGTTCCTAATATTCTGGGGAAGATCTTTACTTCTGTCATTTTTCCTTGCCCTTGTCTGCCTTTTTACTTCAAGTAGCTCAGTGTTTTGATTTGTGATATTATTTGAAATTCCTTAAACATTCTTTAACCTATTTTATTTGATCTTATTTTATAGGATTGGGAACTGAAATACACAAATTTAATTATTTATCGTGTCAGATCAGATCACAGATCATACTTTCAAACCCTCGAAAACTGTTCCTCTGGGTGGATGTCCCTTCTGAAAAATATCCTTATATTGGTTTAAAAGCCAAGCACTTTCAAACAAAGTGCGGTGTTTTTAACTGGACCTTGGTTAGCCTGTTGTGGAGATTGTTGTATTAAATATAATATTGGGTGTCATTTTGAAGGCTTGGTTTGCTAATATGTAGTTTTTTATTCCAGTGACCATGAGATGAGAGGAGCCCAACCTCACCTGCTCAGTGTATCAGAACTCTGTCGTTGCTTGGCTGAGAGCTGGATTACCTTTAGGCTATATCTGCAGGAACTTCTGCAGTATAAGAAGCAAAACCCTGCCAAGGTATGTATGGAATCAATGGGGCCTTTCATGTAAGAAGACAAAGCCTAGTTACTGTTGTGCTAGGGAAAGTTGTCCGACGTTTGCATTCAGAAAAAGGCATTAAAATGCATGTTTGCCTTCAGAGGAAGAGATTAAAATGCATAGTCTCTGGGAGTTAGAACTGATTCATACCTAACATTTTTCTGCATGGACGTTAAAATAACTATATTTGGACATGGTCATCCTGGCGTACATACAGTGTTTTAAGCAGTGATCTTAAAGCATTGCTCCAGGTATGTGGAAACAAAGAACTGTAATAGAGGTTTTATTACATCACTTCAGTTGAAATACAGGTAAGACAAGTTATTTCCCAGCAGTTGTCCTGATGGAGCTATACATTGGTATTTCTGCCCCAAAAGGCAGCAGCCTTGTGTTTCCTTTTGCTGTGTTTTCTAATCCAAAGCATATACTGGGATAGCAGTGTGAATTGATCTTTCAGACAACATAGGGGAAAAAAGGAAAGGAAATGTGGGCATAAATTACAAGTAATGTTATGTTTTAAAATGGCATTTCAGCCTTTTTAAATAAATTGCACCACTCACAACATTATTTGGATTAGCTCACTGCTAACAAAGTTGTTCTTAAGACTTTTGTAGATTGTTTGTTCATAATATCATTTCTAAGCATTTCCTGTTTTTTACTGTTATTAATTTAGGGTTTAATAACATTTGTTTTTTGTGCATTTGTGCTTAGTTTGCATATTACTTCATTTGATGCAGCCTTCTCTGTGGATTAATTATGGCTTGTCCGAGGGAAGCAAAAAGCATCTTAATTAGTATGTGCAAGAAGGACAGTTAACAATATATTTCAGGCATGTAGCTTGCTATTCTTGTTTTTTTTCCCCTTCTATTCAGAAGCTAAATATTAGCTAGCTAGGATCAGTCTTAGAGTACGTGAAACAGATTTGTGGATGAATGCAAGCAACATTAAAGAATGAAAGGGCCCTGTAATTTGGGAGGCACTCTAAGTCTGTTACGAAGAAGGCTACGTACACTAGCTATTCTGAGAGTGTTTTTCCCCCCCTAAGCATTATTTTTGTCCCTCTTACTTCTTCTTTGCCCAGTTCTGTGCCAGAATCTGCTCAGGATGCTTGATTCTAGCAATTGTAGGACACTATGTTCCAGGAATCATGATCTCCTACATTGTCTGTGAGTATGTTTATTAACCCTTTGCATCCCTTTAAAACTAAAGATACACTTTTACTAACAAATATCATAAGCTTCTAGGCACCTTCTAGGAATTCACAGGAATTTTCAGCAAACCAATTTAAAAGAAAATACAGCAAATTTTTCAAAGGGTATCGTGCAAATCTTTCTGTAAAGCCAGTAGTAGATGTTTCAAATGGTGGTATCTATTTCCTCTGCCAGCTCCACAAGAAAATAAAGCTTGGGGATAAGGGCAATCATATTTTTTGGTGTGTGGGAAGCATCTGGCAAAGTTATTTTTGCAGTTTATTCAATTTCAGTTCTGGAATCTAAGGATTTTTTTTCCTGTTTATGCATTATTAACAATGTTGGTCCTGATCTTATGATCTTCAGCTAGAGAGATTAAGGGCTGAATTTGTACAGTATTGGTACTATGTCAGGCCCAGGGGGATTCACTGAACATAAGAAGCACTGAGAGTAACTGGCAACTTAACGTTCCTAGAGAAGACATGAACTGCCTTAGCGTCAGAGAATATACTGTATATGTTTTTAACACATCTCTGAGTTTTATCCATATTTCCAGTACTTAGCATTCTGCTGTGGCCACTGGTAGTTTACCATGAACTCATTCAGAGAATGTATACCCGTTTGGAGCCCATCCTAATGAAACTGGACTACAGTATGAAGGTGGAGACTCTGCATCTTAAACACGAAAAGAAAAGTAAGTCGACTGCTCTTTGCTACTTAAAATGCAGGTCAAAAGAATTGCTAAAGAAATGCTGGACTGACCGGTTTCTCCAGTGGGCACAGGGCCTAGAAAGCCTGTAGATGTATGGATGTCAGTGTGCAATTGGGACAAGGAGCACAAAGAAGCACACACTGTAAAAAACAAAACAAAAACAACTTGTTATAAAATAGTATTTTCTTAAGCCTTTTTCCGCAGGACTGACTCACAGAAGCCATGGGCAATATTTATTTTGTTTTACTCTGCAGAGCGTCAAGGAAAGATTGAGCCAGAGGCTGGCAGTGAACCAATGGCAGAAACAGAAAGTGAGAGTGAAGCAGAACTGTCTGGCTACTCTACAGTGGTAAGGGTGAGGGAAGAAGCAAAAAAAGGGCGAAGCGTGATCAAACGAAAGAGTGGGGGGCGGCTGGAGACCTGGCACTGAGAGAGTTACAGGAGTCTGGAGAGAGCGATGAGCTGAACTTCACACTGGGGATGGGTTGTGTGTGTGAGGACAATCATTTGGTTTGCATCATTGGATGCTTCTACCCAGTGAGCCTTTGGGTCCTTCAAGCATGAGGTTTCTCTTTGACGGCTTCCTGTTGAGAGCAACTTTAGGTTTCTCGTGATTTGTGTAGAGGCAAAGTAATGCGGGGGAAGGGAACCTTTTTTAATCTCAAAAGCGACATTCACTTAGATAAGTCTACTCCGCTGGAAGTAGTGATCTCTTGTATTAGATACTTAAAGCCCAGCAGAGGTAAATAAATTTTAAGGGAGTTTTAAAGACTTTTGTAGATTGTTTGTTCATAATATCATTTCTAAGCATTTCCTGTTTTTGACTGTTATTAATTTAGGGTTTAATAACTTTTGTTTTTTGTGCGTTTGTGCTTAGTTTGCATATTACTTCTTTCTTTTTTTTTTTATAAACAAACTTTATTGATTTCCCCCCCCCCCGAAATAAACAAACATACAATTATGGCATAAGTCAATAATACAATTAATAAAAAAAACAAACTAAAAAAACCTCCCATTCTAAGATGCTCAGTAACCTCACAGGAACACATTCCCTCTCTTCAACCTACTTCCCTCCTTCCTTCTACCTCCTTCCCTCCTCTCCACCTTCTCAACCACTCTACTCTACACATCCNGCCTCACAGGACCACATTCCCTCTCACCAACCTACTTCCCTCCTCCTTCTTTCTACCTCCTTCCCTCTTCCCTCTCAACCACTCTACTCTACACATCCCCCCTCCTTCCCTCCTCCTCTTCCAAATGTGTTCCTGGAGGTCAACCGAGCCTCCATTCTTATCTCACTACCATTCTAGTATACCAAAATACATAAGAAATACATATTACTTCTTTTGATGCAGCCTTCTCTGTGGATTAATTATGGCTTGTCCGAGGGAAGCAAAAAGCATCTTAATTAGTATGTGCAAGAAGGACAGTTAACAATATATTTCAGGCATGTAGCTTGCTATATATATATATAAATCTTATATTCACACATAAGTATATTCGTGTGCCTCTCGATTTGGGAATAAAATTATATTTTGTTTAAAAAAGAATTTGTTCAACGCATTTTTATTTAGTTTTGAACAATAATCATGTCATAGCCTCACCTGAAATAGGAGGTGAAATGTTTCAGACCAATCTTTTCCCTGAGATTCTTAAAGCTGGCAGACTAAAAGTAGCGGATCCTTCATGTTTTTGAATGTAATAATATAAATTCCGTCAATGCTGACTGTTTGCAACAGCTTTCCTTTAGGTTCATAGGTAGTAAGATCCTCTTGTTTTTTAAATTATGAACTACTTTTCCCAATGTGGCAGTTTGTTAAGCAGTCAGAAGGAGCATTCTAGCAATCCATATGGATATCTTTGCATGTTATTTGGACTTGCCGCTGCTCTGGGTTGTAGTTTCACTTGTGTTATTCATCGTAATTTGTTGAAGGAGGATGCAGCATCTAGGGCAGACATGTCAAACACAAGGCCCGGGGGCTGGATGCGGCCCACAAAGTGGTTTCATGCCCGCGAAGTCATCCTGGAAACAGTGAGGGAACGGCCCCCGCTGCCTTGGCCCTGGCCCAGGCCGGCCGGGAGGGAGCCAATGTACAATTTTGTGGTGGCCATCTATGCTGAAACGCATTCGGTCTTAGCTCCACAAGGCCGTCTGGAAACAGCGAGGAACCAGCCTCTGCCGCGTCGGCCCCGCCCCCTGGGTGCATGCTGGGGAGGTGTCACCCTTTGTGAGGAATGAAGAAATGCACCATCGCCTGAAAGTGGCCAGAAAATGTCCTCGCCTACTTCACGTATCTGGCTTGATGGGCTCTGGGGGAGGTGTTTCGGCAGGCAGCGGGGCACTCTCCTCACAGCGAGAGACTGAGCCGGGCAGCGCAAATCCAAAAAGAAATATGAGGCCGCCCAGCTCCCAGCCTACCTGGTTTAAGCAGGCAGCGGGGCACTCTCTTCACAGCGCCAAAAGCTGAGCCGGGTGGTGCGAATCTGATGAGAAGTGCAATGCTGCCTAGCCCCCAGCCTGCCCAGTTTCAGCAGGCAGCAAGGTGCAAAGCTGGCAAGCTTCGCACCACCCGGCTCAACCTCTCGGCGCTGTGAGGAGAGCGCCCCGTTGCCTGCCGAAACCAGGCAGGCTGGGTGCTGGGCGGCATCGCGCTTCTTTTTGGATTTGCACCGTCCGGTTCAGCCTCTTGGCGCTATGAGGAAAGCGCCCCGCTACCTGACGAAACCACGCAGGCTGAGGGCTGGGCGGCATTGCGCAGGCAACGTTGACTCTCACGCTGCTCATGGCATCCCCTCCCCCAGAGCCCACCAAGCCAGATATGTGAAGTAGGTGAGGGCCATGTGCTGGCCACTTCCAGGCGATGGTGCATTTCTTCATTCCTCACAAAGGGTGACACCTCCCCAGCTGCGTTTCTTGCCTGGGCATTTGACCTCTGCTGTCCAGGGCTCCCGGCAGCCCGCACCACCATCCAGCCCCCCCCCCCCCGCATGGCCTGGGAGGAACAGTGAGGCTCCTCCAGTGGACCATGCCTTGACACTTGCCCTGGTCCCACCCCCTTCTGCCAGAGACCCTCAGATCTGTCCCACTTCTGCCCAGGACCCCACAGGCACCCTTGACACAAACGATGTAGAGCTGGCCACGCCCACCCAGTAGGCCACGCCCACTCCATCCACGCCCACCCAGTAGGCCACATTCACCTGGCACCCCAAGGGCAACCGCAATGAAATTGAGTTTGACACCCCTGATCTAGGATGAGCATTGATCCGATAGGGGACATGGCTGGGTTGGCATTCAAGATGCATTCTCTCTGTGGAGTTTTTAACTGAGCTCATCCAGCCTTGCCATACAATCTTAATGTTATCTTTATTGCAGGTAGATGTGAAGAAGACAGCTCTGGCATTAGCAATCACAGATTCTGAACTCTCTGATGAGGAGGCCTCTATCCTAGAAAGTGGGGGATTCACGGTCTCCAGAGCTACAACTCCACAACTGACAGATGTGTCCGAAGGTGGTATATTTTTTTTCCCCGTACCAAGTTTCATATTTCAGCTTGGAGCTGCCGAATGATACAATACGAATTATATTGTTTTGTGGCAGAACTAAGAATTCATGAGAAAAATGAATCAAGAACTGGAAAGGATCACATAATTCTGAATGTTTCTGGCTTCATAGTACACGTAGATTGCAGTATCTTTTCCATGTTAATTTTCTAACTGTTCCTTAATTTGGAAGTTACTGGTGCTACAAAAATTAGCCCAGTTATATTACAGAATTATAAACAAAACTTCATTGGCTTCATTGGATTGGTTTCCACTGCCCTTGCAGTCTTTTTTCTTCATCTCCACCCTCTAACAAAATGGCACCCAAGATTATGACCTACAGCAACCATGCCAGCCTAGATCCTAGCCTGTCCTTTAACTTTTCCTGAAAAATATTTGTAGAAGAGGTGTTTGTCTGCCATTACAGGCCTGAAAAGAAGAAGGGAGGCATTTCAATGGGGAATTCTGTTCCTTGTAGAGCCATCCAAAGCAAGGGATGGTATATTATCATATTAATTTTCCATTCATTGTTTGGAGTGGGGTGTGACTCAAACTTAAGTTTTGAATTAAACCTGCTTTGACAAAGACTCAGAAATGACTTTTGGAAATGCAAAGCTCTGGTGCTACTGCTGGCCAATATAATTATGAATTCTTTATAAACTGAAATTTGATAATGCATATTTACCAGTGGTACTTTATCCTTATAGCAAGATATAATAAAGAAAAGCTTTAGTAAGCTTCCTGTGTAGATTGTGACTTTGAGATTGGGCTAGTCATACAGTGCTTGGCTTATAGAACCTCAGGCGGAAAAGATGAAAAACGTTGTAATGCCAGTCAGAAGGGGGGAAAAAAGGAACAAAAGCCAGGCAAGCATATTCAGAAATTGGTATAGTAAACAAGATTGAAACCCATATTTGAGCTAGCAGCCAAATTAAAGATTCAGAGCAGGAATCTCTGGAGCGCTAAACGTTACGTGCTTACTAACTGCCTATCTGCTTTTTTTTTTTTTAGATCTGGACCAGCAGAGCCTCCCCAGTGAGCCTGAGGAATCCTTCTCCAAGGATTTAGCAGAATTCCCTTCGGTGGAAGAGTTCCATTCCAAAGACTTGGGACCATCCAACGAAGATGAGAATTTTGGAGTTCCCATTCAAAGTGTGCAACAGCTAACCTCTGCTGAAGAGGACGCCGCTGCCGCCATGAATCCGGACACATCCATTCTGTGCCTGGCCTCACCCCTGCATTTTGTAAATACTCATTTCAATGGGAACGGGCAGGCGGTAGTGGGAGGAACCCCCGAGTCCCAAGCGACCTGCGCACAAGGCCTGGGGCTACACATCGATTCGTTGAGTCAAGAGATTGTCACTACGGCTATCAGTACAGTTGTGCAGAACACCCTGTCAGCTCTGCTCCACTCCTCAGAGGACACCGAAGGGCCTTGTTTCTCTGAGTTCCTGCCTACTGAACCCGAGGAGAGACTCAGTTTCCAGGCACAGCTATCTGAGAACGAGGAGGTGGGAACAGCTCCTCTGCCTGGGAAAGAAGAAGAGGAGGAGGAGGAGGAGGAGGAGGAGGAGGAGGAGGAGGAGGAAGCCGATGATTTTGAGCTGCTTGACCAGCAGGAGCTGGAGCAAATGGATGCAGAGCTGGGCCTTTCTGGAGAAACAGAAGCTCCAGGAGCTCCTTCCCAACCTCCTGAAGAACTGTCACCCTGATCTCCCTGTTCAGTCTTCTCTTTTCTGTAGCTGCAAGAAAGGACAAACAGACACATAGAGAAGTTATAGGCCATACCGAAGGACAGATAGACATGTGGCGAAGTCCAAGCAAAGCACCCAAACTCGCAGTGTTATGTCTGGAATCAAAAGTTGTTGTCCTCCTCCTCCTAGTATTGGCCTTTCCACCAGGGCCTCTGTTTCTGCCCCAGGCTTCTCAGTGATGATGCAGTCTTTTGTCTGCTGCTGCAATTTTTCTGTCTCAAGTCTTGTTTTGCGGTTTTTAATTTCGCACACATTTTCTGCTCTTCCTGCCACTACGACTTCCTGCTCATCCTCATGTATCCAGTAGGAAATAAAAGGAGTTCTATTCAGCAGAGAGGGTGTAAATAATTTAAAGAGAGCATTGGTCGGTTAATTGAACAGGAAGGAAAAAAAACGTTCTTTGGAGAAATAGATTTGGGGTTGGTTTGTGTTTTTTGACAGGAAATTGGGGAACGGAAAGTAGGTTTTCAGTAGTGATACCATATAGAGAATTTTTTTTTCTGCGAAAATGGAAGGCCATCTGGACTTAAGCCACCTTGCACAGAAAAAGCCAAGTGCTTCTGCCGCACCAAGAACCAGTCCTATCTTCTCAAAATATTTTAAACCTTCGGTTCTATTTTCCTCTGTATGTAGGGTGAATGTACACTATGCCCAGTGGTTTCCAGGAAGGCATAGCCTGATTTTATTTATTCTGAACTACGTATCTAGCTGTCTGGATTTTTTTTAAAAATTCGCTTGGATGAACTCAATTTTAATTGTAGAATCTGGCAGCCTTCCTCTTTCCCTTTCTGCTGCACTTTAAATACAAATATTTCTTTCTTGTTGGCATCAGCCCTGCCCTGAAACATCCTGAGCAGAAGGCGTTCTTCTAGTGCCCTCGGCCTTTGCCTCGGGGAGAGAAGCAGAGCAGCTAGAAAAGACAACTGTGTGAGACGCTAGAAAGAATTCTAGCGTCAAAGGGGGAGAAGGCTACCCATTTTGCCTATCGACCCCATTCACTTTTGAAAGACTTAAAGCATTTCCATTGGTAATGTTGTTGTTAATTAGAGCAGAATGTGCATTTCTATTTTCAGGAGAAAGAACTGGGCAACACGGTCTTTCCCCCCCCCCCCACTCCCCTCCCCAAAAGCGGTTGATGTCTGTGGGGATGGGTTTGTGGAATTTTACAGGAAACAAAATAAAACATAAAATGGCTTATAAGGTTGCAAAGGTCAATATTTTTTACTCTAAAGTAGCAGAGCTTTTCCAGTGTATCAGCTTAGTCGCTGCAAAGCTACGCCGGTTTAGCAATGGCCTTAATTGAACGGCTTTTGGTTTGTTTCCTCACTTCTGCCTGTTTCAGCCAGTTTTCCCCATGGATTGTCGGTCTTGGTATTGTTGCTTGTTTTCCAAGGGAATATACAGACCATAGTGCAAACATAGCACTATGGGTTGGTTGTCCTCCCTTTGTGTAAAGTATTCAAGATATACAGTATGTCACCCAGCGATTAGTATGCTAGGATGAAGAAAATCTGCAACTTAAGATTTGCAAATGCAGGCTCCGAATCTCTTGTTACCAGTCCTGTAGGACTCTGTCCTTGAGCTGCTCTTCTAAATTACTTGCCTAAGGTGCACGAAAGGCCTCTGAGGACATCCAAACACCTTTGCAATTCCTGGCTCCACATCCAACCTGCCCCCTTCCCTAACTTTTGACAACTACTAGGAAGATAACTGTACTTAACCGCCTTCTTCCTTTTTCTCCTTTCGGACTTCTGATAAAAGGTGAATGAATTTGTAGATGTCTGCTGCGTAGCGCAACTGTTTTGTTGGCCAGCGCTGGCTCCTTTTCTGTCCTGTATTGCCTGCCCCTCCCTCAAAAGGAGTGGAGTTGGGGTGACTGTGAATAACAGCTTCCTCTGACTGTCTGCACTTTGGAAACAGGCAGCTTTGTGGCACTGAGTGTATAGCCTGCCTACCCTTTTGTGTTGTGCCCGGGCAACAAATTTTTCCATCCCTCTCAATAGAGCCCTAACTTTTTCTTTCTGATGCAGAAGGCATGTATTGTGTTGATATTTCTCTCTGGTTCTTTATGCTTTCTTCCTTTCCTTTGGCGGCAGCAATGCCCTGCTGCTCCAGGATAGAGGCTCCTAATGAAGGGCTGGGAAACAGCTATCATTGCCCAGGAAAGGTGAAAGGTTCCAAATTGTGTAGCAGTGTTTATTCTATGGCTAAATATTTAAAAATGAAATGTAGTCTTTTTAATAAAAAAAAAGTTTAAAGATTTGAATTTTGGGTGAAAGATGTTTTTTCTTAGTCAACTTATCAAGAGTTTGCACATTTTTTTACTTCCATCAGTGTGTGAGCGGTGATTCCTAAGTCAAAACTGGAAAGCTTTTACCATTTGAATGTACGTTACAGTTCAGCTAAGCCTGTTACAGACATAAATCCAGGTAATTGTGTCTCTTATTTATCAGTGAAGATTGCATCTGATTAATCTTGAGCAGGAGAAAAACTCTTTGAGAAAGAATATATGTATAATTCTTTTTCATACCAAATCCCCTTTATATCACCAAAGAGGTGTATTAAGAACCTCTTAAGTGTCTTGAAAGCTACCAAGTTTGTAAAAAATAGTTGACAGGTGCACTATGCTTTTTTTTACAATGATAGGAAAATATAATTCTGGTTATCATCCTGAAGATCTTTGGTTTGATTTCCAAGTGTAAAATTATAATTTTCAAATAGGAAAAAGAAGGGAAGTGCATGAGAACATTAAATTTAGATAGTGTTAAGTTCAAGAAAGGTCATGTTCTCAGCATTGTTTCAATCTGTTCTCATAATAATAATAATAAAGTTGAAAGGGACCTTGGAGGTCATCTAGTCCAACCCCCTGCTCAGGCAGGAAACCCTATACCATTTCGGACAAATGGCTGTCCAGTCTCTTCTTAAAAACTTCCAGTGTTGGAGCACTCACCGCTTCTGGAGGCAGGTTGTTCCACTGGTTAATTGTTCTAACTGTCAGGAAGTTTCTCCTTAATTCTAGGTTGCTTCTCTCCTTCTCTCTTCCATTTAGAAAAAAAATACACTAATAGTCTTTGTAGTCGTATTTATAATCCTTCAATAGTTAAGGCATAGGACCAAGCTTGTGCTGTCACTTTTCAGAATCCGAAGTATCCTTTAAAGTTTTCTAACGATACATAGATAAGTAAAAACACCGAATATCAATGCCAGCTTTTATTACAAAGATTTAACAGTAAGAATAAAGAAAGAGACTAGCCAGGGAAATATTCTAGAAAAGTTCTCAATAAATAAAAATGGGACCCCTCCATGAGCTGGATCAAAATTGATCAGTCAGTTCAAGTAGAAGTTCTATTCCTATTCAAGATTTTAAAAAAGTCTTACAGCTTCTGTCCTGTATTATTCTGCAAAACTAAAAGCAAAGAAATATTTTAGCCAGCAGTGCTACTAACATCTTTTCTTCTTTTCAGCAGAGACTGTTGGATGTTGGTAGATGTCCATCACTAGCGTTCCAAAGAAAACTGTCATAAGAACCAACGTCATGAATGACTGTGTTCCAAGAAGTTAGGCAACGGTGCAGCATAACTTCTTCACAATAGGAAAGAATTATTCTATGCATAGTCTTGTTGCAGGAGACAGTTTATACAGTGTTGGATTCACAAAACAGTTTGTAGGAAGATTTGTCATGGCTTTTTCTAATCTCAGTAAGGCAAGGATCAAATGGTATTCCAAGGACTTAAAATCTATTTTCAAAAAGGACTTACAATGGAGTTTACTACTTTATAGTCCCCCAATTCTAAGTATTTAAAAAAAATGGCCAATTATATCTGTTCCTCAGATTTTATACACTGTGTGCAGCCTGTAGGAGATGTATCAGTTTCTTACAGTACCTCGATGTGGGCCGAGGACTATTACAGGTAGAAGCCTGAGATCCCTGAATGGAGAGCGCTTCCAGTTTTTCACTTGCTTGGAGTGACATCAGCACCTAGAAAGGAAACTAATAGTTATTTAGATATCTAGGGCTGCATTCTCACAAATCAATTCATTCTAAACTCCTTAAAAAAAAATCTCCATTTTCAGAGGAATAAAATTCACAAGGGAAGAAAAAAACACACACTACCCTTCCTGAATATGCTTACTAGCAAAAGAAAAAAATGGCAAATTTAAAAATGCAACTCTGTCAAAAAAAAACAATCCGCACAAAACAAGTGGTCCATTACCAAAGTAACAACCCAACCTCCCACAAGTGAAGCTATGTAAGAACATTATTCAGAACACCAGAAAGAGTTAACAGAACGCCTATGCAACATCTAACAAAATGGATACCCATGCAACTTAATCAAAAAGTGCTTGATCACTCAACCCACTATAGCATAACCAATACAAGCTATGAAAACAATAGCAATAACACACATCAAAAAATCTTAGAAACAACCACCAACTATTACAACCGCACGGCACCACTGTAGCACACAAAGCAACTGAAGCCCTCCAAAACATCTTAAGTAAGTCAAAAGACTACTAGGCCAAGAAGAAAAAAAGGAGTCATTTACATTTAGTACAGAATGTAAAGACAGTAGCAGCCACCATGTAGGACAGACAGGCAGAAGACAAGCAGAGCACATGCAGGTACCCCAACTAGCAGTCAGTGAGAAGAGTCCTTAATCTCATAACACATGGACAGATTCGATCAGTTTCAACTGGGAAACTGAGCAGCCTAGAACAAACTGAATCCATTAAGGCTTGGAATTCCTGAAAGCTTGGCATTCAGACAAATCAAGCATCAATAGACACAAATAAACCACATTCAGACATCATTCCAAACAGACAATAAAACTAAAGACAGAAAAAGATCAGAATATATTCTTACCAACAGTCAATACCCCAGATAAACAGGATTAACGCCAGACAAACAGGCAGAAAATAATACCCTAATCTAGGAATTACTAAGGGAAAAAAACCACACCTCAACCAACACTAGCAGGGCAAGCTACCGTATATAAACAGGGAACAAACCCCACATTCACCAGCACTGAAGAAATTACCTAGATAGGTCATGAAATGTCTGCAGGCAAACAACCAAGCTAAGAGAACACCAAGGATTCAATTTTTCCAAATAGCCTCTTTTATTTCCTCCCCAAATTAGCAGCAAGAAAAGCTAGATAATATATCTTTTTTTAAAAAAAATTACTGTATCTTGTTAACAAAAGATTTGTGACAGATAGGAATACTTAAAAAAAATAAATATCAAAATATATTAAAAATACGATATTAAGACTAAATAATGGAACAAACTGCTAAAGATCCTATGCCTAGCTAACGTAAAATTAATTTTACATTCCCAATCACGTGATTGTTGTACAAAGAAATGGAGGCTTAATGATGGCTGCTTATTAAGTTAACTGAGAGGGTAGAGAGAGTCAAGTCTTAGATGAATAGAAATCAGGAGACAAAATGAGATTAAATAAACATACTGACTTTTCCAGTAGCATTGGGTGCCAGTATTTACAGTGGCATTCTCTAAGACTAAAAAGAACTGTCTCTAATAGAATACCCTTTTTTAGATCGAATGCATAACATTTTAATTCTTAACTAGCAAAGTTTGAGAGGAAAACTTCTATGGTGCTTTTGAGGGCCTACACCGACGTACTGCCAGTCTCCAATCCTTTCCCCACTGGATCAGAGTTCATAGTCATCCATCATCACCCTTCAAAGTTACAGAATGTGTACCTGGTGAATCTTGGACTGCTGACCAATGGAGCGTAAAGCAAAGAGTGCTGCCTCTTGCACGG